CGGAATTTGCATTTAATCGTAACACTATAGTAAGATCGTCAAAAAATTATTTGGAAAATCAAATAAAGTTAAGCCTAAGCGAAATAAAAAAAATTTAATTTAGATAGAACTAATCAAATATAATAAAAATTATACATACTAAGTAAAGTTTCATCCCGAAAGTGGTAAAACAACCGAAATAATTACTGCCTCCCAAATAAATAAATAAACAATAAATATTTCAATAAAAATAATATCAAAAAAAAAAAAAACTTATCTATGAACTCGAAGCGATGCAACACCGATAAAAAAAATTCAACTAAAATAAAAATTAAGAGAAATATGAACTAATTAATTTATGAACACGATAAAAACTTTCTAGATAAAGTGACAAAATTGTACAAGCTTTTTAGCATTCTATTCTTGATGCTAATATTTAGTCATGACATATGTACAAACCGGTCATATTTTAACTTTCGCTCAGCAAGTTTTGAAGGACAGTTATATTACAGTTTTTTTTTTTTGAGATTTAGCCGTTTGTGTATAAATGTAACGAACAAGGTATGAAACTATTACATCTTATTTTTTGAATTCACATTTGATAAACTACTTGCTATAAACCGGACCGGTCCTCAGAAGAACGACCTTTGAGAAATGCATTTGCTTTATTAATGAAGTAATACAATATCAAGAAATACAATACTTTAATATTATTTTGTCACGTGAAACAAATTTATCATTATAAAAAATCATTTTGTGTTTTTTCAAGAAAGTGACCCGAGAGAAACCGTTATAGGTTAATCTTTACCATTGATGTAAAAGTAAATTTATAATTTATACATTCCTGCAACTTCTGCACCTTGCAAAAGAAAAGAATTAAGGTGTATGTTTGCAAATGAAGGGAGTAAAGAACTCCAAGAGAAACCCATCACATTTATAATTTAGAAAAAAAAAATATGGTATCCTAACGATATGGTTGAAATTTATCATAAAAGGCGATTTATGAGTTCGGGGTATATAATATTTAAATTGAATTATCATAAAATCTTTAAACACTAATCGGAGTTATTATGTGAAAGTAATAAAAATTAAAAAAACAAGTTTATATATTTCTTTAGAAATTTTAATTCAGAATATAGTATAATTGAATATAATTATCAAAATGCTTGTGAATTCTTAACGATGGAAATAACAAAATAAATAAACTCGAATAATATATATATAATTTTTTTTTGAAGATATTGTATTATTAATATACATGTTGGGAGTTATTAGAAAATAAAAGATAAAATTTAAGTGAGTTTTGTTTTGAATAATCCTTTATTTTGAAAATAATAAACATCATTTGGATATCATCATATTTATATTTGAAAGGCCTAGTTATCGATGGTGGTTGTATTTTAATAGATTATTTATGGAATAAATTTTTTTTATTTTTTAGTTATAATTTAATTTTATTTGTAGTGTAGTGTTTGACAAATTAAAAAACTTTTATTTATTTTTTTATTATTTTATTTTATTTTATTTTATTTTTTTTGAGATCCACCGATCCATATACGGTACTCCTCCTATCTCAATTTACTTGAATGACGTCCAACAGTAGGTTCGATTAGTATTCTTAAAATGCTGTTAGTTTTACAGATCTAAAATATTTAATATTGTTGCATTTTATGTTCTGTTATTGTATAAACTCTTGCTTGATACGGGTATAAATGCTTCCGTGACAAATAAATTATTTTGCATCCTGTATTTTTTCTTTTGCAATAAATTCGTTAATCTTTTTATCGTATCGTCTCGCCAAATATTGCTATTTAAAAAAAGTACCATTATCAAACATTTAATTATAAATAAAATATGTTAAAATCATTTAAAGGATCAAGTGATAAATAATAATTTCAATTACATTGAATTCACATCTCTGAAATTAAATTTTAGAAAAAAATTTAAATCAAAATTTTTCCTAGCAATTAATTACTTAATAATATTGCTTAATATCCGAATGATTAAAAAGTTAGCAAGGGGCTGCAGCCTGTTGGCAAATGTACTAATTTACTGCAATACTTGAAATCAAGGTCCAGCTTTTAGCTGATAAAAGATATATATTCTTTGGCCTTTTTTTAAAAAAATGCTCTATATTCCGCATATGATTATGTCATGTTGTTTCCCATAATTATATCTTGTTATACAAATAAACATTTATTATACATGTAACTCCATATTTAATGTGTCTAGTCATTTTCAACAACCGCCGTTATATTTAAAATTAATTTAACAATAAGCACAAGCCTTTAAATTATGATTTTTTTCAGTTAATTATTAATTTTAATACTTTCTTTTTTATATTTCATTTAATTCATTTAAAATATATAAAGAAGCAAAAGTATTGACTGGATAATTATTAACGGTTGATGCTGAAATATAATTTATTTATACTTTTCGGATCAATATATTCGCTATAATTACAATTAAAATTAGGTGTTTAAAATGTTCTATATTGTCTTTTATTAAAATGTGTAATTTAAAAAAAAATCCTTTTACAATTTATTCCCGCAAGAAATTTTTGGAATAGGTTTAACGAAAAAAATTTATAATGTCAAAACGAAGAGGTCCAAAACGTATATCCTCAAGAAACTGAATGTAATTTTCAAACGAAATAATGAATATGTAGGTGGTTTTAAACTTTTGATCCTTAATTACATTTTTAAGTTAACAATTTAATTTAATTGTTAAAATAATTTTAACCGCGGTTAATCGGTTAACCGAATATTAGCCAGTTAAAGTAAGTATTAATTAGCCGGTTAATCGAACATGGTTATCCGGTCCGGTTAAAATTTTCAATGACGGTTACAATCACTAACAAAAAAAAATTGTGAGGTTAATGCTAAAAATAATTCAATTTCCTCATTAATCTAAAACAAACCTAGAAATTTATATGAGTGATTTATTAATTGCAGCATTGATTCTTCTTACAACAGTGTTGGCCCTATGCGAGTAAAAATAAAATAAATGAAATAAAATACATTATTAACAATTATCACGAAGCTGTTAGTTACATTTAATAAAATGAGAAAGATTGAAAAGTATTTATTACCGCATCACAGTGGTATCCACCACAGTCAGTTGCACCCTTGAATGCGTATTAATGGAACAAATTTTAGTAAAGATATAATTACTGCAAGACATAAATGAAGGTGGGAATATAAGTTAATTACCACTGGCATGCAAAAATTTTTAGTAGCACATTGAAGGCCCTAATTACAGGCAAGTTGTTAGTAATAATAAAATAATCAATAAGAAGTGGAAAATTAAAAAAAAAATTACCGCTTCGCAGAACCTTCCATCTCCACAGTCGGTTGCACCCTTTAATGCGTAGTAAATAGAATAAATTTTAGTAAAAATACTGTTACAGTAATATTTAAATTCTCATTGAACGTGGGAATATAAGTTAATTACCAATGGTATGCAAGTATTGTTAGAGGCACATT